CAAAACTAAAATTGCTAAAATCTTATCTAAGATCAACAGTGTCTCAAGGGAGATTGAATGGATTGGCTATATCAACAATTGAAAAAGAATTACTAAAACAAATCGATTATAAAACAACAATTAATGAATTCGCATAAAAAAAAGCTAGAAAAATAGATTTTAAATAAAAGTATATATGATGATTTTTTTCAAAAAAAAAATTAGGGCCCCATTGTATGATTTGGATTTAAGCCCCCAATGTTGTTGAATCGGCCCTAGTACTACATTGTCTATGAAAGGGAAAGATAGGAAAGAGCATAAGCAAAAGAGATTTTTTGAAAGCAGTGTAACAACCAAGAAACTACCTCCAAAATTAGAGTACTCCGCTAGCAACGAGGATCACCAACTACCTGTGCCCGACTCAGAATTTACACAATGAAGGTGAAGAAAAGGCAAGGGCAATACAATGAACACGTACATATACTCAACGTCGTCATTAAATCCTAACATGACGTTATCACATGGGTTTGTTTACACTGACTTGTTTAGTACTTAATCATGTATTTTAATATACTTATCTATACAGACTAGAAACTCAGAATAATATTATATCAGTTTACGACAACATCGAAATCAAGGTCAAGCTACGGAATTGTTAATAAACCAAGTCCATCACCACTTAATCACTTATCACCTCATAATCACTATATTTTATCCATGATCTAGCTAACTTATGAGTATAATCTTATGAATATTGATGTGCTTATTGTATATTTGTTGTGATTATAAGCTTATAGACATGATTAAATTGATTTCAGGTAAAAACAACAAGGAGGACCTAAAAGATTGATTGAAACGCAATGCAATGTGTCCCACACACTAAAACATAGCCAAAGTGGTTGCAAGAATGGAGTTCGCAGTGAAGGTGCACTTTGCTATGGATCCCATGTTGCACCTATCATGATTTGAAATTTTGAAACTAAAAATTCATTCGCGAATTTGCTATGCAGGAAGGAGGCAGGAGTCCAAATGAACCTTGTAGTGTGCCCCTTGGGATATGTGATGGGTCCACACCACGACCCTCTAGTTTCCTAGACTGATATGACCTAATCAAAGTATAGTTCAATTGGATTATGAATTCAACCTTACTATTATAAATATGTTATTAAGATGACATTTTAGGGTTACACATTATTTTAAAGGTTATAAATCATTTCTTAGGGTTAGAGATTATCCATAATATAGAAACTTCATTGTTCTTATTTTTAAGAGTTTAATTATTGTTTTCTAACTATTGTGGAATGGACAAGATTCTCTTGACAGAGCTATATTAATCAAATTTTTTGTTTACTTTCTTTTATTAATGTTCTCTAGTAGTTAATTGCAACTAGTTAGAGCAGATAAACTCATAACTAGGGTTATGGAACATAGAGCTTGTCTCGCATTGATGCTAAAAATTGTATATTTTCATAAGCACGTTTTTAAAATAGCTATTCATAAAAGTTTTTTTGAAAAAAAAAATTACGTTTGGTTAATTCATTTGAAAAGTGTTTTTATAAGCAAATTATGCTTGGCTATTTTTTTAAAAAGTGTTTTTAGAGACAAATTACGATTAAGGACAAGTATCAGTGTACTTTTAATATTAAATTATTTTATAGAGAAAAACTAGTTTAAACATCTATTAAAAGAAATTAACTTAAATTCTTATTTTTATTAAATTATAACGTTCATATTCAAATTTTCAGTCAATATTACACATTTTTTGGAAGGTCGAAATATTTAAATGTTATTGTTTTTCTTTTTTTTTTCTATTCTTGCAAAAATATTGTTGTTACCTACATCTTATTTTTTAATTCTTTAAATTAATAATTAAAATAATAAAATGCAAAAGTAAAATAAAATATATAATTCATTATATAAAATAAAAGATTAAATGATTAAATGGAACTTATATTTATATATATTTTCTTGAAAGAAACAATTTTCTCCTTTTGCTTTTTCAAAAGGAAAAGGGACAAGTATAATCCCGAACTATTGTAAATGGTATTTAATTATCGTTCGTTTTACTTTTGGGATACCAATGCCCTTACCATTCAAAGTTTGAGTTGTATATTTCCTTTGAAATAAAAGAGACACGTGCCATAATCTCAACAACCTATCAAAAATTTATAATTTTTTTATCCATAATTTAAAAGTTCACCCAAAACCCACCGAAATAAGTATAACCCAAAAAAAAAAGACCCACACCAAAATAAACTCATTTTCCCATTGTTCATTATTCCACCATCCAAACACCCCAAAGAAATAGGTCAACACAGAAACTCCACCACACCACTCTTTTTTGGCGGAAGCTCCACAAACAAAACGGCCCACACCCATATTATAATAGACCCCCCCCCCAAGTGTATATGTTCTTATCTTGTGTAATCGATAAACCTGATGAAGGTTGCAGAAAAGTGAGAGAATAATCATATGTTTGATTTCAAAAAGGATAGGAGGAAGATTGGAGAAAGGACAGAGAGACTTATCGAGTTATGTTGATCTCTTGAGATGTTAGTGAGATGTTTTGATTACTTAATCATCACCAGCTCCTAAATTTTGACCACACCCAGCTTATAAGTTCAAAATTTACTAAGGAGAAAAAATATATATAACTTTAGTGATTATAAATCCATTAGAAGTTTGTTGGTTCTGTTTGTCGGTGCTATTGGAACAGTGATGAAGGAGAGACAGGTTCAAATGGCCAAGTTTTATGTTGGCCAAAGGGTCATTCAATCACTGGTTTTCCGGAGCAAGGAAGGGTGAGTTAGTTAGCGATAAGAAGTGATTTGGTTTGTAACTTCGTCAAAAAAGATGAGTCGGGGCGGTGTCTTAAGTTTCGACAAGGGGGTGGTAATTGGTTGTAGTTGGTTAATGGAACAATGAAGAAAAGAAAAATGGAGTTTATTTGGGATTGGGTCTTTTGGATTTTCTTTTTAAGTTATAATTATCTGGTGGGTTTCTGGGTGTGCTTTTTAGTTATGAATAAAAAATAAAATAAATTTTGTATAGACCGTTGAGATATGACATGTGTCTCTCTATTAAATCAAAGGGTATATACAACCCAAAATTTGGACGGTAAGCTCATCAATGTCCTAAAAGTATAATGAAGGGTATTTAGATACCATTTACATTAGTTCAGGGGTATATTTATCCTTTTTTCCTTTTTTAAAATCAGAAAATTTTATCTTCTTTCCAATAATAAAAAAACTATTTCTGCTACTGTTTAAAATCAATTTTACAAGTTTATCAAACACATTTTTTAAAAAAAACAAGTATTTTTTTCTCATAATAAGTTCTTCTAGGCTCCAAACAACAATGCCAAAGAGTCTCTTAGAGTAGGGATGATGATAATAAATTCTTTACATCAAAGTCTTCTCATAAATGGGTGCTCATTGTGTATTATGGTTCATGAATAATGATTGTTTTTAATGGTTGTATATATTAAAAATTCACGTGTATTCTTATTAGCATGACAAAAGAGATTAACATTAGGAAAAATAATCATTAACAAAAATTAAGAATTACGCACCAACCTCCACCTAATAGTTAAAGTTAAAGATAAAATAACTAACATGTTACATTTGATGAATAAAATAAATTAATTAAACATACAAGTGTCAGCATGGAGTAAGGGAGATATTCTCTTAATTAGTCTGAGGATTTAGGAGATCATAGATTCTTCAATTTTGTAAAATGGACTCCTTGAAGAGTTGATGGCAAATTATTTGTTTAAGTTTTGGTATCTAAGAATTGTAACCCTAGGTCATCTCTTATTCGTGATTTCAAAATAGGTAGTTAAGTATTTAATAATTGATTTCCCATTCAGACCCCAACTCCCATATTACTCACTAATTTGGGTTTCAATAGAACATTATAAAATATCTCTCGCCATGCTTTTTGTGAGATTCAACCCCAACCTTGTTGGGTTACTATTCTTTGACATTGGTTACTTTATCCCAATTGAGGGTGTAGTTTGGGAGACATTAATATTTTAGCGCCTTTGTTACGGAGTGTAGTTAAGAGATTTATCATTTGTAGAAATTTATTAAGTGAATAAAACTTACCGCTAAATCAAGAACCAGGTTCTTTATTATTTGCCTAAGAAAAGAGTTAATTAAAACAATATACTTTAACTAAAACCTTCCTATCTCAAGGAAGGAAAAACTCAACTACGTTTTATTACTTTTTTCTTACTCAATTACAATTTTCAATTAACTCTAATCGAATTCTCCAAATTTTACAAAAAGCCAAACCCACTTCTTGCAAACGTACTCACAAATCTCCTCTCTCCACAAGAAGCCAAACCAACTTCGTGTTTACAAGCACACAAGCTTACAATCTTACTAAGAACAAAACTCACAAGTTAACAAAACACACAAAACTCACAAAAACACTCTTTTCTGCCTCTCTCTTCATCTCACCTCACTTTTTCTTCGATTGCAAAGAACTGGCTCTCTTTGTCTTGAAATCTCTGTTTATATAGACTTTTGAACAAGAATTATTTCCTCTCTTTTAAATTGATAATAATTCTGATTTATGTATCCTTCTTTGATATGAAAAAGATTTGCTTGCTTTTATTTGTTATACGCAACCTTTTCAAAAAAAGGTTTTGTCTTCGTATAAAGTCGACAACCTTTTAAGATAAGATTTTGTCTTATTTATTTATGGAAATATATAATTATTATATTCATCTTTTCCCTAAATACATTTGCACCTTGATATTTGTCCTTCGCCTCTTTTTCAATAAAATGATAACATATTTAATAAATGAATCTGGTTCATAAGTGAGCCAGCCTCTTATATTTATCAATGAGATGATATCTGGTTTTAATATAAATGAACCTGGTTCATAATTGATGACATCAAAAGTATTTGTCATTATCATAAGTAATTAACACAACTTCTATCATTAAGTAGATCTTTTTTATGATGACAAATAATACCCAAAATAACACTAGTTTTTAGAAATTGTTTCCCCCTTTTGACATATCAAAAAGCCCAATATAGAGCCAAAACATATCGACATCATTAAAATATAAGGATACTACTATAAAATATCGACAAAACCTATAGAAGCAATGCAACCAAGAACCATTAATAATGTCTAAATATTGGACAGAAAAGCCATTAACTAAGGCCTAGAAAAAGCATGAAGTATATGATCAACACGAGCATTGTTATCAATTTGTTGTTGAATAAGTTGATCTTTTAATCTCCCAACTCCCCCAGAGAAGCAGCCAACTGAGCCTGAATAATAGTAACTTCATCTTTTAGTAACACATTTTGAGCTCGAGCCTCATTAAGCTCAGAAATTAGAGCAGTGACTGGACCAGCAGAGCGAAGAGGAACTTGATTAGCAACATCATCCAAGAGATTGCATTCAACAACAGTAGTTTGAGTAAACATATCATATTTTCTCAAAGATCGACCATCCTCCAAAGGTACCCCAAATTCTTTAAACACAATAATCAACAAGTTCCCATAGGCTAATTTATAAGGTTTCTTAGGATCCACTATTTTGACCATATGTTTAATTATAAGGGAAGGCCAATTAATAGGACACATGGTATCCAAAGCATGACCAAGACCCATATCTCTAAAGTTAGCTTCATGTATACTTTCTCCTCTTGGGATAATACCTTTGTGAACTACTTCAAACACTAATTTGTGAAAAGGAGACATTTCACCTTTCTGTACCTTTCGCGGTCGATCACTGACCCTCCCTTGTGTAAATTTTGAAGTTAATGTGCAATTATAATCTTTTCACCAGTGATATTCCTCCAAACCTATGCAAGGAATATGAAGTATTGACCCTAATCTAGTTTTGTCAAAAACTATATCTATACCATGAATTGACGAAGAAAGCAATGAATCATCAATCGTTGTCAAATTTGCATAAAACTCAGCCACTTCTATGTCAAATATCATGTTATCAGAGTGAAGAAAAATGTCTACCCACCCCTGTACTGCAAGTAGTGCCAACAATTTTTTGATTGCAGTATGATCCCTGGTTTCTGGATGAATTGTTCGCCCTCTCAAGATTTTCTGTGATTTAAAATAAGCCTCCCTTCCCATGGCAAGAACTTTAATTTCGTTTTTGGTTAGGGTTTTAGAAGAGGGAGGATGTGAAGAACGGGCAGATTCTAAAATATCTTCATCAGACTCAGAAATAACAGGGGTGGAAGAAGAGCAAGCAGGTGACTTAACAGTGCGATGGCGTTTTTTGGTAGATTCTGCCACCATCTCTACATGGGCTTGACTTGATTTTCGAGTTCGAGGAGTACGAATCTCCTTTCATTTGACAGCAATATGCTTGCAAGGACGCCGAGGAACTGGTGTAGACGAAGGGGTTGTATTTATTTGAGGAGAGTTAGAGGAGGGCATTGTTTCCTGAGGCGATGAAAGAGAGTTAGGGATTTGGGGGTTTTCTAAGGGAATGGAGGAAGGAGATGGTGGGGAAGAAAATTGGGGGGGGGGGGGTCAGCTATTGGTGATGGTGGTGGACTATGTTCCCCCTGAGTAGTTGCTGGAGTTTCGGATGTGAAGGTAGGTTCATCATCGGAGTAGTCGACGAGAAAGAGAGAGGAAGCCATTTTTTTGTGTGTGGGGGGGGGAGATAAAAGGTTTTATGGGGAATAGAAGGGTAATGATGATGAACAGGTCTTTTATGGTACTTTAAACAGGCCTGAAAGGAATTTGAAACAATGGCAGTCACATCGAAGAGACATTGGAATTTTAATGTGACTCTATGTATTTCCCGCCCAAATAAAAAGTTAAATAGGAGAACCAGGTTGAAAATATAAGAACCTGAGTCGGTGGTGAGTAGAACCTGGTTCTTTTAGTTCTGAAACACGAGTCCCAAAGATAGACAATTTATAAGGAATGGTTCTCGCCCAAGAGCCTTAGTAAAAATGTCCGCAATTTGATCCTCAGTAGCACAGAATTTCATTATGATAAATCCTTTTTCAACATTTTCTCTCAGAAAATGATGTCGAATGTCAATATGTTTAGTGCGATTGTGTGGGACCGGGTTATTTGTCATATTAATAGCACTAGTCTTATCACACATAATAGGAATGCAGCTTGTCTTAATTCCAAAGTCTTCTAACTGTTGCTTTATCCATAAGAATTGTGCACAACAAGATGCAGCTGCTACATATTCTGCCTCTGTTGTAGAGAGGGCAACTGAATTTTGTTTTGCTAGTGGCCCATGAGACAAGACATGGTCCTAGAAAGTTTGCATTCCATATATACTTTTTCGGTCAAGTAAGTATCAAGCATAGTCAGCATCAACAAATCCTATTAAATCAAATGAGTCTCCTGATGTGTACCATAGCACCAGGTTCACAGAACCTTTGAGATACCTAAGTATTCTCTTTACTGGTTTTAGATGAGATTCTTTAGGACATGACTGAAATCGTGCACAAAGTCCAACACTAAACATAATGTCGGGTCTGCTTGCAGTTAGGTATAAGAGTGATCCAATCATACCTCTATATTTTGTATCATTGAATAGAGAACCTACTTCATCTTTATCTAACTTTGTTGTAGTGCCAATGGGAGTGTCAATTATCTTTGCTTCATTCATGTCAAATTTTTTCAGTAGTTTATGAATGTACTTCTGTTGATGAATGGAAGTTCCTGTAGCAGATTGATCAACTTGAAGACCTAGGAAGAAAGTTTGTTCTCCCATCATACTCATCTAAAATTCACTACTCATGAGTTTGGCAAACTCAATTCCAAGTGAGGGGTCAGCTTCACCAAATATTATGTCGTCGACATAAATTTTTACAATGAGCATATCTGAACCTTGTTTTTTTAAGAAAGAGTGTATTGTCTATTTTTCCACGGAAGTAACCATGTGTTAGAAGGAACGTGTATAGACGATCATACCATGCTCTTGAGCTTGCTTTAGTCCGTGCAATGCTTTTTCTAACTTGTAGACATGTTCAGGTTTATCTGGGTCCTCAAAACCAGGAGGTTGTTTCACGAACACTTCTTCTTGTAGAAAACCATTCAAAAATGCACTTTTTACATCCATTTGATAGAGTTTGAATTCCATATGGGCTGCAAAATCAATTAACATTCTTATAGCTTCCATTCTTGCCATTGGTGCAAAGGTTTCATCATATTCGATTCCCTTCTTCTTGGTTGTAACCTTGAACCACTAGTCGAGCTTTGTTCCTAGTTATCTAACCTTGGTCATCTTGTTTGTTTCTGAAGACCCATCGAGTACCTATGACAGTGCGATCATGTGGTCGCGGAACCAGGTTCCAGACTTTGCTTCTTTCAAACTGACTCAATTTTTCTTGCATAGCAATAATACAGTCTGGATCTCCCAAGGCTTCTTTAATATTTTTGGGAACAACTAGAGATAGATACGCTGAGAAGGCACACATATTTCATACTCTAGATCTGGTATGGATCACAAATTCCAATGTGTGAGGATGTTTTGAATGGGATGAGAACTTTGATGTTTCCAGCCATGAACCTGAGGATTTTGAGTCGATTCTGATGTTGGAGTATCTAATGTTTCTCTCTCTGTTTCTTTTGGTATATTTTCAATTTCTTGAGGATTTGTCTTATTTGTGGTATTATCCTCATCTGATTGTAAATCTTCCAATGGTTTTGGAGGATATTCAACAGGATTATTCAATTCTTCTACTGTGCTTTCATCAAAAAAAACAGGCATACTTTCTTCCACTTGATTTGTTCTTCTGTTGAGTACTTTATACGCTTTTCTTTGTGTTGAATATCCTAAGAATATTCCTTCATCACTCTTCGCATCAAATTTTCCCAAATTATCCTTTCCATTATTGTGCACGTAACATATGCTCCAAATGGTCGAAGATGTCCTAGGCTAGGCTTTCTTCCTTTAAGTAGTTCATAAGGGGTTTTATTTAAAAAAGTCCTTATTGTACACCTGTTTATCATATAACAAGCAGTGTTTATGGTCTCTGCCCAATAGAATTGTGGTAGTTTGCTTGATATTAGCATGGTTCTAGCAATATCTTCAAGAGTTCTGTTTTTATGCTTAACTACACCATTTTGTTGTGGAGTTCTTGGTGCAGAAAAATTGTGATCAATTCCATTAGTACTGCAAAAATTTAAGAATTTTGAATTTTCAAATTCTGAACCATGATCTGATCTTATATTAATGACTTCTATACTGAGTTTCTTCTGAACTAGTCTCACAAATATTTCAAATACATCATAAGTTTCATCTTTTGTTGCCAAAAACATAGTCCAAGTAAACCTTGAGTAGTCATCAACTATTACAAGAATGTATATTTTGCCTCCTCTACTTATCACAAGCATTGATCCACATAAGTCTATGTGAAGCATCTCTAGAGGTTTTGTGGTACTAACCATTCCCTTTGGTTTAAAAGATGATTTGGATTGTTTCCTTTGACACATGCACCACAAAACTGTTCACTTTGCAAAATTTTGCTCGGCAATCCTCTAACCAGATCTTTTGATATTAGTTTATTAATTGTGGAGAGGCCAATATGTCCTAGCCTTTCGTGCCAGTGGGCAGAGTTTTCACTGAGAGCACTGAGGCAAGTAAGTGAATTTTTCGAACTTATTATTTCAGTTGTGTATACATTCTTGTGCCTTTTTCCCAGAGGTACAAGTTCCTCAGTTGTTGAGTTTATCACTCTACATTCACCTGCAGTGAATACTACCTTGTTCCCTTTGTCGCACATTTGAGATATGCTTAGTAAGTTATGTTGAAGCCCATTTACGTAGTATACATCATCGATGGCTTGTTTGAGATTAATTCCTACCTTTCTAATTCCTTGTATTTCCCTTATTTTTCCGTTTCCAAAGGCTACTTTTCCACCCTTAACTCGTTTCAGTGAGATAAAGTTATCTTGATTTCTTGTCATATGTCTTGAGCAGACGCTATCCAAGTACCAGTGCTTTCCTTTTTCTCTCACTGAAGCCTGCAGTTTTATTCAGACCGAGTTAGTTTTGGTACCCAAATCCACTTAAGTGCCTGTTTGTGATTAAAGGGATGTATGATAATTTTTCTAGCCCATCTAGGAAGAACTTTAGATGTAGAACCAGGTTCAGGATCAGTTTTCTTTTGACTTTTTCTTAGAAAGGAAAAAATTTTCTGATGAGCAATTTGTTATTTGTCACATGCATGACTCTTATGTCCTGTCAAGCCACAGTGAGAGCATAGACATTCTATGTTTGGATTTTTTGTTTCGGAAAAACCTATTTCATGTCTTGAACTAGAT